TTGTTTTGTTGGATTTCACTTGTTTTACATTCATCTTTGCCATGGTTATGAGTTGGAGCTTTTTATTCGCCTATACTTCCCTGTTATGTTAGTCTGCATTTTGTACAAAATTCAAATAATATGTTCTCAAATTTGTGGGAACTGTTAAAAAAACAATTCAGGTAAAAGAAGTCAAAAAGCAAATATCAACTATTAGGATCCGTTTCTACAAGTTTTTATTTAAACTTGGGATCCTGAAATTTGGAAACCTTTAAATAGTAGCTACAAAAAAGAAAAAAGTCTCAGTCAAGCGAAAATGTGTACAATGTCACAATGACACTATTAAAGTAAACTCATAAGAGCTTTAAAAGACTCTTGGCCTTGGCATGGCAACAAGAATCACATGAGCAGCGTTCCATCTGCATTGTTAAGAGCTTCTTTAGCTTTCCTGAACTTTTCATAGAACTTCTTATTAGATTTCACTACATATTCCTTCATGAAGAACTTGATGCCATCCCGTAGAGCTTCATAGTCCGGATTCACCGCTATGCGAGTGAACAAGTTCCACACAAGTTTCTCAGTGTTCTCGAAGATGGCTTCAAACAGCATCCGAAAGTGCATGATTCTCTTTGGAGTTAACTGCACTGGATTTGCAAAGTCTACACATTTGAGAACCGCAAGAGAAAGATTGAATGATACAATCATCTCGGCCACAAATTTCGCCAGATGCATTGATCTCTGAAGTGACATTGACTCTAGTTCTTTGAAATGGTCCCATATGCAATACTGTATAGACCAACAAAGATAATTAGAGAAAGTAATCATCAGAATAATTTTTTTTTGTTACAAAATAATTGTCAAAATAAGTGAAGTTTTAGAATTTGAATGCAAAATTTATTTGAACTTTATATGCCCTGTTTAGTTTTCTATTGTTTGAAATAAGGTAGGTGTTAGTTAATAATGTTTTTGTTTAGAAAATAATAAGTTTTATTAATCCGTTTGCATAAATCTAAAACCACATTTAAACTGAAAAGGAGGGAGTAGTAGAAAAGTACCTGTAGTGTAAACTTATGGTTCTTGTCGTGCTCACACAGCTTTAAAGCCAAAACTGTGTAGTACTTGTTAAATACTTTCTCCTGTAAACAGCATTCAACTAGAACCCTCATGATCTCTCTGTCCTGCTTTCCTGGCAGATCCAATCTAAGAAGTTTCTCAAACGCATCAATGTAGTCTTCACTACTCATGATGACACAAAATATAGCTTTCCTGGAATCTGTGTTCATCCTCTGTGCATCAGCTAGCTTTAACATTTTCTGAGCCTCAACAACCTCAGCGTCCATTGTTTCCGCTACATCTTCAGCGTGGTTTGTTTTAACCACCAAGTCGCCAGATAACCACCACTGGCCCTTCTTCTCGGTGTCAAGCAGCTTGCTCCATGTGAGCCCCCTTAATAGTACTTCGTCCACTCTCAACTGTGTAAATTATAAGGAAAAACGGAATAAACTTACTCATTCAAAAGCATCGGTGAGAAGCAGAAGCACACAAGTTTATGAGATATTACCTTTTGAAGCCATTTCTTTACCCTTGTGTTCTGGACGGAATCCTCTTTGGCTCTTAACTTGTTGTTCTTGATTGCAGCAATGGTTTCAAGCATTTTTTCCATCTGCAAAATCCAATGTAAGAAACGACTTTTAAAGATTCATAACAAAACATTTTCTTCAAGAAGAGAATCTTACTGTGAATTTATTTATATCAGTCTTGCAATCAGGGGAGGTTTTGATTTCATTTGTCTTGTTCTGGATGCTTATGATGAAGGTTTTCATAGCTACAGGATCATCACTTCTTATCTTCATTCCACAGCCTATTCAACACATAATGAAGAACTTAGTAATGTTACATAAGATCTCAATACAACTACTATGACCATGCAAGGCTGATAACAAAACTTACTATCTAAGACGGTTAAAATAGTGGAGGCATCAACTTCAGTCAGCCGGTTCGCCAATGTCATTAAGAAATCATAAATAAGATCACTGCAAAACACATATACAAGTTCACATTCAGTCCCAAGAAAATTCATAACAAAATAAGCACATTCTTTAGAAATGGGTAGCTGGAGAAAATAATACCTGGAGCAAACTCCCAAATTGCAGAGATAAGAAAGTAAAAGAGTGATTCCATTCAAAGAGAGACTGTCTTCTTTCTGGTATTCATCCTGAAACCAGATAAGATGATTTGTAATTAATGCATTAACTCAAACAAAATGGTGAGAAAAAAACATAGTAAGGAGGACTTTTCAAGCGACCCATACAGGAAAAACTCATGAACATTACCTCGAAAGATTTAGCAAGTGAAGCAATAAGATGTGCACTAAAATCCATTCCAACTTGACAAGCCATGCCAGCAATAAAAGCAGCAAATACAGCGTACCTTGACAAGCAAGACAAAATTATTAAGCCATTAATCGTTTTATATGTAATTAAGCAGTTCCACGCGTTATTCAAAGGCTAGCATTAACACGAGCTTAACTGTTCATTGCCTCTGGCATAAGTTGCCAAAATCTCTTTACAGAAAATCTGAGAGGACACACTTCTTGCAACACTCTGCATTAGTAAAATATTACAGGGTTACCATGTAAGAACATTAACAAAATGAAAAGTGAAGAATCAACAATGAACTTTGAAGGGTATACTATGCTTACACGATAGAGTGTAGAAAGTTCTGCTGTTATGGTTTCTACATTTGATTCAGCCATCTTATTTAGGAGACCTGTAAGTTACAGCCAGCATGTCACACTAAGGTTACAGAACTATAAACACCAGAGGTTAAACAGTCTTTTTGCTAGCCATACCTTTTACTCGTGTACGTAATTTAGTGAGTTCTTCAGATTCACTTTTGGCCTTAGACCGAAAACGAGGAGCAACATACTTGACGCTGCTCTCAGGATTAGATTTCCGCAGAGGAGATTCTTCTTTCTCCAAACTTGACGGTGAATCTTGATCGTTAACAGTCTCTAACTCATCATCATCATCTGTGATCTCCATGGGATGGTTATCTAGTTCTTCATCATCTAAAGTCTTCTTCTTATTCTTACGGTCTCTTTTTCTTTTAGGCTCTTCTTCGCTTTCCTCCTCAGAAAAATCAGATTCTCCAAGCTCAAAGTCTTCATCTACTTGCTTATCAACAACCTCATAGTTCTGTTTTTCCTCTGATCTCTTTCTCTTACTCTTTTTACCCTTCTTACCAAGTTCAGATTCCATTGAATCCAACACAGATGGAAGACCTTCAAACAGTTCATTCATACCATCATCCACGCCTCTCAGTTTCCCATTCTTTACATTGAGCTTCTTCGCGAGCTTCCTCTCAAGTGCAATATCCTGCTCAGCAGATTGTAAAGCGCTCTGTGTCTCCATTTCAAGAAACTCTTCAAACTTAGTCTTCTTCCTTGGCTTCTTTTCATCTTTCATCCCGCGTCCTCTTTGCATCTTCTTCTCCTTTGGTTTCACTCTAGTTACGTCTTTCTTTTGTGTAAAAGACTTTTTATCATCCTTGTTTCCACTACTAACTGATTTCACATGCTCTGTTTCTTTATAATTTATCTCGAGAAAAGGTTTAGGCTTGACCACGTCATCAGTCTTTGTCTGAACTGATGATGATGATGCTCGTTTCTCCTTTTGCAACTTCTGAGAACCATAAAAGCCAACATTGTAAAAATCATGACTTGGAAACAAAACAAAGAATCACTAATATACCTGACGCTCAAGCCAAGATTCATGCTTCTTCTGACTCTTCTGCAAGCGAGCCTCTTTTCTCTTTTCATGACGTGAGCTCCCTGCTGAGAGCAATCAAAAAACAAACTCTTTCAAAACCAAATAGCTAAAGATCATTAAATAAGACAACAAAATCAGCTTACCCGTTGTAGCTGGTCCAACCATGGATTCTACAAACAACAAAAGCAAAAAAAAAATTAGAATATTTGCATATAGAACACGACATTCCTGAATAAGCTTCAGGTATCTATAACAATGAATAGCTGAGAATTAAAAAAAAACGAGTTTAGATCAATACTAAACCTATTTGGAACAGTGTAAAGAGGACTCCTCAAATTAAATCTTCTCCGCACTTGCTCTCGCTGTGATTTTCTTTTGTAATCTAATTGTCTTTCGGACACAGTTGATGAACGTCTGAACACGGAAGGGAAACAACAACTAGTGAAAAGTAGGGTTTTGTTGAATTTAAAAAATAAAAAAGCTAACTAAATAAAGCCCGCTATGTTGTTGGGCCTAAACCCTCTGGTTGCTTTCGCGACTTCTCTCATAAAAATTTCTACTGTTCCTTGTTTAGATCACAATAGTCAAAATCTGCAATAGAGAAACTAGTTAACTTATCTTTTATAAAGTTAATGCTGGCATTAGGGTTTTCGGTTCGGGTTGATTTGTGTAATTCAGGTTAGAGTGTTTAGGAACCATATATTTTTTGGACTGGAACCATTCATAAGGTCGGTATGGGTTGGTTTCTAGTTTCTTTTATAAAATCCGAAGTTGAACCGAATTAAAATAGTTTGGATTTGGGTTTAAAGTCCAAAAAACCCGAGATAAACACAAAAAACACGAAAAAACTAAATAAGAATATTCGGGTAATCCAAAATTTTGGATATTTTTTTATTTTTTAAATTATATTTTATATATACTAATTAGAAATTAATATTTCTATTCTATTTAGAATATTTGAGTATCCGATCGGTTTTTGGTTTTCGGTTGGGTTTCGGTTTTTTCGGATTTAGAAAAATAGAAATTAAGTGGAGATGAACACAGACAAATCTTTGCCACAGGACTGAGGGTGTTGAAACAAATGTAATGGTACATGAGTGATGCCTATAGCCTATAGGTTATAGTTAATAGTCTATAGGAAGAGTTGACAGGATCGCATGTATAAACTGTTTTACACTTTTAAAGATGATGTTCGTTTCCCACTGCAGCATTAGAATTCGAGTTAATATACTCATGAAAGAAAGATAAACACAATGTAAGAAGGAAGAACACTTGAAACAGTGTCTAGACTTTCATCTTCTTTAATGTGTCCATAATTTTATTTGACAGAATCTTTAGTGAAACCTTTATCTACCAACTTAACCTGATAGACATTAAACGAACCAAATAGTGCATCATAACTCTTCCTTCTCCAGATATAGAGATGAGAGCTATATCAGCTAGGCTTTGAATCCCTTTCTCTGCGTCCCAGTCACTCTGTGAAAGTGAAAATATGGCGTTGTTCACGTTCTCACCCGAACTTATTGAATCTGTCAACAGATAAAGTAGCGTTTTGTGTTTATCAGATAAACCGTCATAAGCAAATCTAATAACCGTCTCTATATCAATGTCGTGAGGGCATGTTTTCAGCTTAGACAGTGTCGTTGTCCACTCATCTTTGCTCTTCCCGCGCAAAAAAGAACCAATGACTCTGAGACCAAATGGAAATGGAGAAACTAGCTTAGCTACTTCCTCAGCCAAGTCCAAATAACTTCTTGGTGGAAAGTGTTGTCCAAACGAAGAGTATGAAATTATATGCAAAGCCTCTTCGTTTGATGGAAAAGCAACTCTGTAGGTCTGGTTCTGGTCAATCCCACATTCTTTCAATGTATCTATATCTTCACTAGTCACAATCACTTTACTTCCGTATCTAAGACCTTGGATCACATCTTTCAAAGCCTTTAGCTCATGAAGAAATACATCATCAAGAATGAGTAGGACTCTCTGGTGCCTTAACCTCTCTTCTGCCTCAACTAAGTTAGGTATCTTCATGTCCCTATGGTCTAAAAGTCCGGATAATAATTCTTTCTTCAAAAGCTTTTGAAAGTCATGTTTTTGGAGTTGGGGCACCTCATACTTTCCCTTAAAATTCTCCTTGTAAAACTTAAGTTGGAAGTTACTAGAAATTTGGTTGTATAAGGCTTTAGCTACTGTGGTTTTGCCAATACCTGCAGGGCCCCAGATGCCAACCATCTTCACCTCGTCGCATTCTAAACGTATCATTGCTTTCAGCTTTGCTACATGACCTTCAACTCCAACTAACCGATCAAAATCCGTTGATGGCAACTCGTTGGTAACATCTTTGACGATTTTTGAGATCATCTGGGATTCACTTGCCCTAAGAAAGACAAAAAGTTATAACACTACTGATTAGACATGAAGGCAAGGATAATAGTTTGGTTGGGTAACAATTACTGCATGGTTACTCAACCAAACTATTATCCAAATGTATTGGTTGGGTAACACTACTGATTAGACTTGAAACAATTACCAAATGATCAATATATATTTTAATCAATCTAGAGGTATAATAATCAAATACTCCCTCTGGATTTAAAAGTATGATGTTTGAGGTTTTGCACATATATTAAGAAACAATAAATCAACTCTTTTAGTTATTATCTTTTGGTTTTATCAATAAAGTTCAACCAATCATAATGTTATCAATGGATTTATATTTAATTATAAAGATAAACACATTAATTATATCCTAAAACATCAACGTTTTTTATATAAGAAAACTAACTAAAACATCATATATTTAAATACGGAGGGAGTATATATTAACCACTAAAAGTTTTTGGACCCAAAATGAATGTTTCATCTTGCTATACCCAAAACCGGCGAGATTTATAGGGGTTGCAACAATGACCAAAAGATCAATATATATATATTTTTCTTAATCAATCTAGAGGTGTATGATCACTATGAATTAGCTCCTAAATTTTTTTGGATCCAAATAAAACAAATGTTTCATCTCTGTATATCCAAAACCGGTCCTGAGATATATAGGGGTTGAAAAAGTTACCAAATGATCAATATATATTTTCAATCTAGAGGTCTAATGATCAATATATATTAGCCACTAACCCAAAACGAATGTTTCATCTCGCTATACTCAAAACCAGTTCTGATTCTTGTGTAGCCTAGCCTAGTCTGGTCTAACTGAATATTATCCCTAACAAGAACTACATAGTAGATTTGCACTTAATGAAAGTTCTAGAACAGTACCATGAAGTTAAATGTTCCCCAGCGATAAGAGCAACTTGAGTCAACGCTTGTCTCCATGTCTTCTTCTCTTCCTCTGTACTGCCATAACAAGTTTCCTCAAATGCCTTTCCAAAATCTCCGGTCTGTTTTCTCACATCAGATGGCTCCACATCGTAGAAGATTGTCATCACAGTTTGTCCTAGAGAAGCCCTGCATTCCATGATCAGCTGCAACTCGTGTAGACACCAACTCGAGGAAGCATAGTTCTTGGAGAGGATCACAACGGCAATTCTAGATTCTCTGATAGCTCTCACGAGCTCGGAGTTTATTGCTCCGCTCTTCATGATCCCGTTGTCCATGAACGTGTTTACTCCATTGCTTTTCAACCCTTCGAGAAAGTGGCTGAGAAAGCTTTTCCGAACATCTTGACCACAGAAACTTGGGAAGACATCGTAGCTGTATTGACGTGTTGTTGTTGATGATGATGATGATGGGGGAGAAGAAGCAGCGATGAGAGGATGAAGAGGGTTGCAATCTGTTCTTGATTCTCCTAGGACAGACTTGAGAATTCCTCTTAACATCCTTTTTTCCTTAGGTAATTTTGACTATGTGATGATCAATAATATCGTTAAAGAAGACTTTGTCTTTGGGTCGTGCCAATGAAAACAGCCTCTAACAATGTCAATATAAGAGCACGTAAAATTAGTCGATAATCATAAATATGATATTGCACGTTCTGAAACTTTCAAGAAAAGAGAGAGTTAAAAAGAAAAAAAAAAGAAAAAAAAAAGAAAAGAGAGAGTTGGTGTTTATTTATTCTTTTTATTTTCTGTTTGGCCAAAGTGTTACATCATTAAGAATGATTCGTTTGTATATACATAAAAAAGGAAAAACATTCCAAAAGGACCTATTCAACCTATTAAATCTGCAGATTCCTGCAGCTTCGGTGGTTATCTCAGCAGACTTTATCTCTTTTACTATCATAGCTGTCAAATGGCTGAGTCAACCATTAGTTGTTCATGTCCAAATGTCCAAATAAAAATGAATCTATTTTGTTGATACACATTTTTCCACGCTGGTTATAAATGGACAAGAATCACAAGACCATGATCTAAATTAGATCATGAGTGTTAGTGGGTTTGGATTACAAGCACATGGTCCGTCTAATAATTTAAAATAAATAGAGGTTTGACTTAAAGCAAATTTGGAGGAAAAAAAAGAATTTTATAGAAATTATGGTTTTTTCACAAAAATATAAAATTGTTTATTCCGCCAAAATATCAAAATGATTTTTTTCCAAAAAAAAAATCATAAAATCAAATTTTCTGCAAAAAAAAAGAGTTTTCCTACCAAATTCACTCAACAGTTTTCCAGCAAAATAATAATATTTTGTTTCTCTTAAAATCGCAAATCAAGATTTTTTGTCAAAATTCAGTTTTCCGCCAAAATAATACTAACAATTTTATGAGAATAAAATCATGTTTTTTTATGAAATCTTCAAATCGATTTTCTCAGCAAAAACCGTAAAATTTAGTTTTCTTGTCAAAATAAAAAAAAAATTGAGTTTTTTCGGTTAAAACCTATTAATTGTAACAAAATTTGTATGAAGCAGGTTTGCTTGGTATATATGGATATATGGAAATGGAAACCAATATATTTAGGAGACTATCTCACTTCTTAGTCCCCCGGAGCTCATTCTAAAGTTTAGCAATTGCTTAAAACTAGGTCAATAACTTCAGTGATTATCATATAATCTTTCTTCCATATATAGTAAGTTGAAAGCAAAAAGGAACACCGACGAAGGTAAAAAAAGAATCTGAAGTATGAAAGAGTGTAAAACACATGAAAGCTAACCCAATGTACAAGATATTCCCAACCCAAAGTAGGACTTCTAACAACAATCTCCAAATAAACAAATATAGGGGATATGCATATGATCAACATATACGATCTCAACTCCTGTCTTGGACAAGTCCAAGATCTCTATACTTGAAGGGACAGGTGGTAATGTTTTAAGGTTCTTACATCCCGCCATTTCCAATGAAACTAGACGAGAACATAGCTTAATTCTTGAAGGCACTTTCTCTATCGCAGTTTCTCCAAGAGACATGAACTGAACCTGCGTTGAAATACACGGAAACCTCTTCAAATTCGAGCAT